CAACGTTCGAGCTATGGTATGCCCGGTATGGCGAAGTTTTCGTGAAGGACGGTGCCGAGTTTTCCGAAGAGGACCGAAGCCGGATGCTGATCGAGAAATTGGAGGACACCGCCTACGAGCGATTCACGAAGTTTATCCTGCCGAAGGCCGCGCACGAGCTGAAATACGCCGAGATCGTGGACACTTTGCTGAGGATCTTCGTGCCATCCAAGTCACTTTTTGCCCTTCGCTATGAATTTTCTAATTTCTAAATTCAAATTCAAATTTTTCGGACCACGACATCGATCGTTTATACCATGATGTGGCGATCGACGGGCACCCGCTGAAGATGCGTGTTGACACGGGCGCCGACGTAACTCTCCTCGACAAGAAGGACTGGGTCAAGATCGGCAAGCCCGCGCTCAAGCCAACGTCACTCAAGATGAAGGCCGCAAATGGACGGGACATCAAGGTTCATGGGACATTCGAGAGCAAGTACGTCATCGACAAGAAGGAGATGATCGGTGTTGGACACGTCATCGATGGCCACACCCTTCTCGGCCTCGACTGGCTGAAGAATACGGATGCAATGGATGCATTCCGTGCACTGCTCAAGCCCGAACCGTCGAATGAAAATCCGCCATTTGAATTCATGGGACGCAAGCTACAAATGAAGCCACCAATGCGCTCGCTGCGTGCCCCAAGCCCCGCCGCACTGGTCGTGAGGACTGCCCACCGACGCCGCCCAGCAAGACAACGTTGTTTCTCACCAGGTGAACACGTTTACGCTAAGGAATGGCGCAGGGATAAATCTACCTGGACGCCCGCAAGAATTCTACACAAGGACTCCAAATTCCTCTACACTGTCAAGTTGGAAAATGGACTGCTACGGACGCGCTACATCAATCAGCTCCGCAAGCCCGACAAGTCGTCAATGTGTCAAGGATCTTTCGAGGAAGAGAAGGAGGGATCGCCGCCACTGCCGTTGCCAAATGCCGACAAGTTGCCCGAGCCCCAGCGCAAGATGCGTGCTCCGATGTGATGGTGCCCGTGTTCAGCCTACGCAAGAATTAAGCTAAACGAATGAAAGAAGCATTTTTCTTTTCGCGTTGCTATGTAAATTCTGTGTAATCTTTTCACGATACTTTTATGCTGTACCCACATTCGGTTTTTCATTCCTCACACACCTCCAGTCTGGTCATGTGCCGACTTTCAATCTTCCCTAAAAGGAGGGAGGTGTTGTGGAGCGAAAGGCTAGACTCTAGTCGCCTCCCCCCTATCGCGTGCCCTTGTGATCGTAGCCTGTGGTCCCGCCACGGCGCCCCCCATTTCGTGTCGTAAGGCCCCCCGCTCTCCCCGGGAAATCGCCCATTTTTATCACTCCGAATTTTATCCTCGTCTGCTGCTTGTCGAATAAACATCTTTTGTTTATTCGATACTTCAACTACATTCCATCAAGCACTTCACCCACTTCAAGGACACAACAAATACCATTTGTTCGTTTCCCCCACGTGGGGGGTGTTCCCCCAACCCACAATCAGCCTGATGGGCTGATCCCCACGGCGACGAAATCGTAAAAATGCACCTCACCGTCGCAGCAAGCACCCCCCCTGCTGTCAATTAGGATCAGGGAAAGAGAGAGATACCGTATCCTTACACCCGGGCAGTCCATTGTTTTCCCCCTGCTCGGTCCGGTCACAGTGGGTTCGCCGGTCGACAAAAATTCGGCCCCGGAACCCCGGCCGAATTTTTCCTGGAAATCAGCAGCATCGCGCGATCGCGTTGCGGTACCCATTAGCAAGTGGGAATTTAATGTTGTGGTCCGGAGAGTGGTGGGCAGAAGAAGACAAACGGATGTGAATGTTACAGCGGCCCGGAAGGCCAACAAGTCCAACGAACCGCTGAATGCCTTAAATTTTTAAAAAGGGGAGATCTCAAAGCCTAGAATTTGCGTTTTAGGGGATTTATTGAAATCCCCATTCACATGAAACCGGTGCGAGCGTATTTTATGCAAAAACGACCGCTGAAAAACTGGTATCCAACCCTTGCCGGTCCCTTTAATATGGCCGGGTGGTGGGAAAGTAGCAGGAAATCTATGAGCGTTCGGAGTTATACTTCACAGATTCGTTTCGGGCTGATTGTCACTATATCAGCTTGGGTTGGCTGGACTTCGGGCTACCCCCTCCGCTCCCTGCCCCTCGCCGAAACGCGCGCTACCTGGCTCACGATGTCCAGAATCATGGAAAAGTCTCATCCCACTCGTTTTACTAAGGTGTCACTTTCAAAGTTAAATTTAATAATTTAAACGAAAACTTTTACATAATTTTTTGATCAGTTTGTGGTTTTCTGACCGCGCGCTATCCGAATCCGAAGAGACCTAAGTTCTAGCTCCTTTCCCCCTCGAGTTATAGTTGGCTTCTGACAGACGGACGGACGACCGAGACCACTATTGAATTCTTATAGTTGATTTCAGGTCGTGCAAAACTCCTGAAATATTCACATAGATCGACCTCTCGGAGCTATGCAAAATCGACAGAAGTTTTGAGTCCCTCGCGCCCAAAAACAGTGTTTTATCATTAATGCGTAGAGCCAGTAATGTTGCCTGATCCTGGCTTCCCCGTGCATTTAAAGTACAGCCAACCCCAATGACAGTACCCATCGCGACATCAAGTTTCGCCCTGAACCCCAATTCAATGAAATCATTGCTGTTTGCCGAACTATGGAGCCGCGTCCCCCCGCATCGGAGTTGTTGTTGGTCGGCCGCCGAAAAAAAACGGCTGCTCTGGTCGATCGAACGGAGCGAGACGGCTAGAGATCAGGATGATAGAGAGGGCACAGAGATGCAGAGAACCCCCACGTGGAGCCATCGGGCGGTCGGGGCTGGGGGAACACTGGGGGGTGTAAAGTTATGTTAACTAGCGTCTAAATTATCTATTTTCAAAGCGTAATACCATAGTTGATGAATAGATCAAGCTCGCTAAAGACGTGGAGAATCAAGCGGAGAGAATAAGTCTACAAAAACGCTTTATTTTTGCCTTCAATACGATTTTAGACAACAGAATTTCGATCAAGAGATCTACCACTACCAGTTTCGAAAAATTTTGCCTTCCAAGCCTCTTTAAAGCTGATAATACCGGTTTTAAGAGAGCAAAATCTATTTTCGCCTTTCAAAAAAAAAGCCTCAAGGTGTCAGTTTTCACGCGGTGCACCCCGGAAAATTGCCGCTGATAACCTGAACCGGTCACTCCACATTGTACCGAGGCCGTTGTCAAGGAAATTTTTGCGTCTTTCAAAATATGGGCCCTAAACAGGCTGCGATTCCGGGAAAAAAATCAGGGCGATAACGGAAAGGGGTTTGGTTATACCGGAAAAGAAAGTTTCTATGTGGGAAATGAGGGGCTATAGGGAATACCACGAGCTGTAAGGCGGTTTTGAAGTTAGAGAGAGGGTGAAAAAGAGAGAGGGAGAGATAGAGAAAGTGTGAGAGAGTGAGAGAGACAGAGAGAGACAGAGAGGGACACCGAGAGAGTGAGAGAGAATGAGAGAAAGGGAGAGAAAAAGAGAGAGAGAAAGAGAGAAAGATAAAGAGAGAGAGAGAGAGAGTGAGAGAGAGAGAGAGAGAAAACTGACTCGTTGTGGCGCCTTTTACAAGTTCTTATAGTTTTTCTTTCTTCTTTGCTTTTTCTAACCTCCACGAGCTTTTTAAAAGAAGCATAATTTTCAAAATAATGCCCACCGGACTACTCCCGCTTTTTTCGAGCCATTTTCTCGACCACGCCTCAGTTTCTAGGCATTTTATCGTCCGGATTTTCGTGATTTTATAGGAACCATCGAAGTTGCAACCGGGCCCGTTGAACGCTCCAAATCAGTCCTATAGAGTTCGAGGTTAACTTCAAAAAGCCATCGCCCCGGAAGATCGCCTTTCTGATGCAATTTTTCACTGATGGGATCCGATTTTTAAGATACCTCGTGAACGCGATTCTTAGAACCCAGATGGTCGCTCGCTGTGCCTTGAGAAATGACCATTCAGCTCTGTTATGTCTTGCAACGGCAAAAAAGAGGCGATCGGGGGTTGCCCGTAGATTTTTTCGGGGGTGCATTCGGTGGACGCGGCGGGGGCGCTGTGTGGCCTGACGTAACCGAGCCGGTCAATTGCTATGGCTTGCGAGACCACCGCGAATGGATATCGGGGCGGGGGGCTGGCAGTCAACGATTAGAACTCGGCTTGGGCTTAGGCTTAGGTTAACCTTTGGTTAGGCTTAGGCGGCTTAGGCATCGATTCCTGCATAGGCATGGGCTTACGCTTAGGCTTAGGCTCCGAATTTGGTTAGGCTTAGCCTTAGGTTTGGGCTTGGGCTTGGGTTAGGCTTAGGCATCGACTCAGGCTTAGGCTTGGGCCGACGCTTAGGCTTAGGCTCAGACTTTGATTAGGCTTAGGTTTGAGTTTACTTTTAGGCTTAGGAATGGTCCCCTGGGGGCTTTTTTTTTTTTCTTTTTTTTCTTTTTTATTCTCTAGCGTTCTCTCGCGTTCTGTTATTACCTCTCTCTCTCTCTCTCTCTCTCTCTCTCTCTCTCTCTCCCTCTCTGTCTCTCGGATGACCGTGGGAATGGCTTAGGTTTCGTTAAGGTTGCGATGGTTATAATTACCGTTATTACGATAATTTACTGCATATAATTACCCTTTATGCGTCTTACTATAGTTTATCACGATCTCATCTATCACATTGTAAACAAAAGAATCAAGAGGCAAACAAAATATCAATTTAAGAACCCGATATGTACACAATTCTCAATTGCACACTAATAGACGCATATATGCAAAGCGGCAAATAAATACAGGGTGGAAAGCTGGGCGTGTGACTAGAGTGCAGGTGCGGAATGGAGCGGAAAAATGGGATGAAAGGCATTTTCACAAAAATTAAAGGAAGTACAGGAAAGCACGATCACAGGTTCAATACAAATTAAGATAAAGAACACAAAGTATGTTTAAAGTGGTACAGTAACCCGTAAACCGGATTCTACCGTACCCATTCCCTCATATTCCCGATAACGTGGGCCAACACGGCAAAAATGGCGGCCGTATGATCAATGTCCTCGGCGGAGACCTTGTCCGAGTAGTCGGCGGCGCTGTGGTGGAAGTTGAAGTAGAATTCCCAGCCTGAATTTTGAATATAGCAAGTTTTGAAGATTTGGAAAAAGAGTTACAGTCGCAAAACCTTTACTCTTTGAGACCATTGAATTTTAAATCGGTATTTTTGAGTTCTGAAGATGAAACATTTCGATATTTTCGATACCTTTTCAAGATTTTTTGCAATAACAAACCTTTATCAGAAATATACATTGTCGACGGGACGCCATCGAGTGCAAATTGGCCCACGTCGCCCTGAAATTACAAATTTTTGCTTGTACTCAAAGTTCCGTTGCCCATCTCTCTCTCTCTCCCTCTCTCTCTCCCTTTCTCTCGTTCTCTCTCTGCCTTTCTCTAGCGTTCTCTCGCGTTCTGTTATTACCTCTCTTTCTCTCTCTCTCTCTCTCTCTCTTTCTCTCTCTCTCTCTCCCTCTCTCGGTCTCTCGGATTACCGTACCTGTGCATTACTGTAGATTGTCTTCAACGGGATCCCGTAGGCATTGATGATGGCCACGATTTCGTGCATGATGTCCATCTGAAAATCAGGAACATGAGTAACGTCAACCTTCCTTCCCCAGTAATCTCTGATAGCCCGCCCTTTCCCAAGGGATATTTCCTACGTTCTCACCTGTTCTCGATTTCCCTTGAATGCCAGATTCGACGTGGAGTTTGTCGGCTTGAAGGCACCGTTGTCCGACTCGGAGACGAATACGAACTGAAAAAGATGGTTATTTGACTCGAACGGACGCTTAATCGATTTTTAAAGAGAGAGAGAGAGAGAGAGAGAGAGAGAGAGAGAGAGCGCGCGAGAGAGATCGTGAGAAAGCACGCAAGAAGCAGTTCTTTCTGCCGCTATCATGTAGGTAATCGCCAAGTAATTTAGGTTAGGTTCTTGTCTTTTTAAGGTACCTCTAAGGTATTACCTTTTCTCCTCGTTGTCCATCCCCGTGATCCGCATAATATTGATGGGCCCCGATGAATCCCTGCTCCTCGGCTGTCCAGAAAATTCCGCGGATCGTCCTGAAAATGCACGGTAAAATTCTGCCCAAAAATTATTTTGTTTAATTTCGATTAATAGTATTTTGAATTATCCTTACCGTTTCGGGCGGTATCTCGGATTCCTGTCAGCCATTTCTTTAATTGCTTTCATGGCGTAAAGCACCGCTGCGCAGCCGCCGGCATCGTCGAGGGCTCCCTGAAAATAGGGCATATCAGCCGGAATTTTTGGGAAACAGTCAGCAAGAGTCAGTCAGCAAATCCTCGTAGCGAAAGGTAGATTGGTCGGCAGCGATTATTTGAAAATTTGCATACCTGTCCAACATCCCACGAGTCCAAATGAGCTGACAGCAATACGATTTCATGGGGATGGTGAGAGCCTTCAAAATACTCAAATTTGAATCCAGAAAATCGCCTATACCTTTAATCTCGAACACCGTATTCCGGGACATTACTTTGTCGGGCATCACCCTCGACCGGATGTCCATATCGATCGTGATGCGCTTGCCGCGTTGGGACCAGCTGGAAAACTCGGAAGTTTAGGGAAGAGGCAAGTTACTGGAGATTCTTAGGGATGAGGCAAGCTAGCAGAAATGCTTTGGGGAACGGGAAAGCTAGCAGAGATTCTTAGGCTAATGCAAAACAAGGGAAAACCTTTTGACATCGAACTCTACATAGCAGAGATTTTTAAGGCAAACATAGGCTGGGAGAGACCCTTGAGGAACGGGAAATCTAGCAGCGATCCTTAGGGAAGCGGCAAGCAAGCAAAGATTCTTTGCGGAACTGGCAAGCTAGCAGAGATCCTTAGGGAGGTAGGCTAGCAGAGATTTTTGAGGAATGGGTAAGCTAACAGAAATTCCTTAGGAAGACGCAAGCGTCTAGTCTAAAAATATTTCCACCTACCGTTTTAGCATCTCGGCCTCTTCAACGGTCAGCGAGGCAGCTGGGATCGAACCTTCTAAAAAAATTCAAATAAAGCTAGATTTCAAATTTTCGGCTGAGCCTTTGCTTGAGCTTTGCTTAGGCTTGCTAAGCTTAGCTCAGGCTTCGCTTAGGCTCAGGCTCAGGCTCAGGCTCACACTTAAACTAAATTAACTAGAATTCACTTACCTCCCCATCCGGTATGCGGGCTACCCATGCTTGATGGGGCCACTGATTTCACAAGTAGTCCAACGGCACCGTATCTTGCTGCCTGAACCAAGAAAGTTTATGGCTAAAATATTATATATAATAGATAATCAGAAATTTATAAATAGATATAATATTTTTAGCGCCTTACCTCTTCTCCAAGCTGTCGGTGCTGAACGGTCCAGGTGTAGCCTTTCCAGGGCATTACTATCACCACGATTTTGCCGGCTACACGGTGGGGCTAAAATATGCGATAAAATCGAGAGAGTGAGTGGGAGAGAGAGTGAAATAGGAGCAAAGCTACCGTAACTCACCTTAATATCATTTCTGTCCTCCAGCACAACAGCTTCAGCTCGAACTCGGCCCGGCTTACTTCCAGGGATCGCCAGGATGTTCAGATCCATTCGTCGAGGGGCTAAAGAACCGATGATGTTTGATTGTTATCTCTCTTTTTCTCTCTCTCTCCCTCGCTCTCTCTCCCTTTTTCTCTCTCTCGAAACTCACCAGTTACAGTAACCCGATCCTCTCCTCTCACAAAATGCGGAATGCCTGGCACCGGCTCAGTGTGGACGTTCTGGAAGCCATCGAGGCGTAGCTTTTGGGTGATGGCGTCAATGGAGCTACAAATTAAAGGTAGGCTAGCAGAGATTTTATAGGAAATGACAGGCTATCAGAGATTCTAAAGGAGGAGTAGCGAGCAGAGTTTCTTGAGGAGGGCAAGCGAGCAGCGACTCTTATTAGGTAAATTGTGTTGGAAATATCCTCAAGGCACTGGCAAGCTAGCAGAGATTCTTTAGCAAAAAGGCAAACTAGCAGAGATTTTTGCTTCTCTTACCTCTCTAACGCCTGTGTCCCGGCCAGCCTGGGCCCGAAATCATCACAGATCTCTTCCATCCACCTCTTCGCCTGCCCGCGCATCGGACCGTTCACCAGGTGTCGAATAATCTCGTAGGAAGACCCGCGGAACTGGAATTATCAAAAAATATACCTTAATGCTGGGATTCCCTTACGGATGGGTCCAAGTATGCGCAGCTGACGCCAAATATACTCAGCAATAGCAGATGTATCCTCATTTCCTAAAAAATGGCGTTAATTTGCATAGATGGAATTAAATTTTGATTAAAGGCATAATAGGAAAATTATCAGTTTAACAGTCCCCGGATCAAAAACCCCGCCAGACCGATCGGCAATGAATCTGGAACGCGGCGCGGAATGAACTGGCGTGCGAAAAAATATGGCTGCCGCGCGCGCGGGTGACAACCCGCGTGATGGGCAAACAAAACAGAGAAAAATTGGGGGAAAACGGATCACTAAGGAGCAGCGTGTAGTTTTTGATGGATTATACATAAGCCTAAGCCTAACACGGAGCCTAAGCCTAAGCCTACGTCTGAAATTAAACCTAAGCCTAAGCCCAATCCTAAGCATGGCAGAAGCCTAAGCCTAACCCAAGCCCATAAAGAGATAGAGAGAGGGAAAGCGAGAGAGAGAGAGAGAGAGAGAGAGAGAGAGAGAGAGAGAGAGAGAGAGGAATAGAGGGAGCGAGAGAGGAAATGAAAACTTTTAGCCTAGAAACCCAAGAATCAGTTGATCCAAAACCATACTCCCTATCTCTGCTCCACGCCACTACTACAGGGTGTCCCAAAAAAAACGAACCATCTGGCATTTTGCCGTGTTACATTCAATCGGTCCCAAATTAGAACCAGGGGTGTATCAGACCCTAAATAACAACAATCCTGAATTTTAGCCCCGTAGCTACAGTCGTTCTCGAGTTATAACGAAAATACTGTTTTTCAGAGAATTCTGAACAGTTTTTTCGGCTATCTTTTTGGACTTTACATCGATTTGCATCGACTTCCGGCTACGAATCTCTAATTTCGCTTAAGAACTTGGGTAATTTTGCGTTGTAAAAATCGCTTCAATCAAAGCTTATTTAATTATTTTTACTCTGGAAAAAATTTCTTAAGGTAAAGAAGGCCTACCGGGTCATTTTGACTTAATGTCTAGGGGGTCTAATTCCACGAAAACCCTGTGAAAAATGGAAAATAAAGTTTGTTTTTGGCATAACTCGAGAACGACTGTAGCTACAGGGCTAAAATTCAGGATTGTTGTTATTTAGGGTCTGATACACCTCTGGTCCAAATTTGGGACCGATTGGATGTAACACCGCGAAATGCCAGATGGTTCGTTTTTTTTGGGACACCCTGTATATACCCAACAAATTTCCGAACTGTCCTTTTGACGCAAACAACACACACGACTAATGACGACCGGTTTCCCCCTTGTTGCCGACAATGTCGTGAGAAAGGTCGGCAAGTGCAAAATAGGATGTCTGGAAGTGAGGGGGTCAACACGGGCAAGCGAAACTTTTCGCCTTGCATGGCCCCTTTAATTAAAATGGGCAAATGGAGTTTTTTTATGGATTCCATGTGTCATTGAGCCCCACGATGGTGTCGCGCTTGTAGATGAATTCAAATTTAAGCGAATCCTGGGCCAGCAAAAAAGTAGTGTCGTCTTGGCCGCTCCTTTAAAGCTAATATTATAGCCCATTAAGAATGGTTTAAATAATTTTACAAAATCCTTAGGTTTTTTGAACATTTATTTGGTATTACTAAGCTTAATCAAGTTTCATTAAGTTTTAGAATTACTACATTTAATTACTAATTTCGGAATTTTTCGGAATATACAAAAAATGTAGGTTCATGAACTCATTAAAAAGCAGCTTAAAAACGAAATCTGCTAGAAAGTAAAGCCCTCAAATTCTTTAATTTTTGAAAATGAAGGCCAAATAAAGAAATCGCCGTGAAAATATTATAGTGAAAATTCCTCGAAATCCCGAAAAAACGATTGGTTTCTCAGCCCCTTTAAATAGTATTTAACCATTCATTTTTAACTTTTAGCTTAAAACCTATGTTATTTTTAAAAAATACACATAATTTCCAAATTCGAACTCTCAAAAACCGAAAATCCCAACAGAACTGACCAGGAACCGATCCGGCAGGTATTTGAACCCGGCCTAACCCCCCAAAAACCGGTATTACATGGGATCGAGGGGATGTGAGAAGTTATCAATAACAGAACACAACAGAAAGTTGTGTTGAGCCCCAGATACCTCGAGCTATTTTCGGGGCTCGATTCCTCAAATACCACGCGAGGGGGGCTGGAACACCCAGTTGAACTGATCCCCCACCCCTCCTCCTTGATGATGATGATGAGCGATGTTTTCAAGTTTTTCAACATGGGGGCGTCGGGGTGTCTCGTGATTTGGAGGTGATTGGAGATCGCCCGGCAACGACGACCACTATGCGCCATTCCTCATTCCATTCTGCGGGGAGACGGGAATCTGAGGTGTGCCCCGAATTAGCCGTCGAAATTGGAGGAGCGGAGACCGCCGTTTTTGAGCCCTTACCTTGAGTTTGGGGTTTTTTGGACCGTCACTGGCTGGTTCCCCAAAAATCACAAAATCGGCGTCTCGGAAAAATGATTTAAAGGACGGTTAAAGGCATCAGTATTCGGTAAAAATCAAGGAAACAACAAAGATTGCAGGATGCTTAAAATACTCGACGGAGTAAAGGGATGGGAAAGCCCAAAACCTACCTCTTCCCGCCACTGGGTCTAGACAACATTGCGCTGGATCGCGCTGAAGTAGCTTCGCTGTCGTCCACAAGATTTTTTAAGAACCAGGAAAAGTTATTCTGTCTAGACCCAGGCCCCGCCATGAGTCGATTCTCACGCTTTTCAGCTCATTTAGTGATATAGAAACGGACGTGGATCTCTCTCGCTCTCTCTCTCTCTCTCGCTCTCTCACTCGCTCGCTCACGCCGTTTAATGAAGGGAAATCATATTTCCAGGCTTACTTCTCAGAAATCACAACAAATTTTTCGCTACAAGGTAATTGAAGCTGTTGCGGTCAGAAGCCAGCGTCGTTCTTGAAAATTCTTTTGAGCTGATAACGACGGCCAGGGTCACGTTGTACTTTGTCGGCTTTATATATATATGAATGGTTTATTCAACCGGGTAATATAACGTAGGCAAAAAATGATAAACACGTAAAGTGAAAAAAAAAACATGGGTGAAAGACGAGGGACGGGGATAATAGGTTTTTTGCTTAGGAGGGATTATGGGCTAGGGGAAGGGTTTCAAGACTTTTCCTAAAGCGTTTCGCGCTGGTCGGAGGGTTCAAGAGGAGAGGTGGCGGAAGTGAATTCCATAGTTTTATGATGCGTCGTGAAAGATAGACCTAGGGGTATCTCCTACGCTGTTAAATCTAGTGAGCTGGAACCTGTGGGAACTCCTAGAAGGTCGCGTCGCAAGTTTAAGAAATTTGACTGGATAGCTCTGCTGGAAAATTATTCGATAGCACAGGACGAGGTCATTTTGGTTTCGGCGTGTTTCGAGGGTGGGGATTTCAAAAAATGCTAGCCTCTCTTCATACGGAATTACGGGAAACCCTGGGCAAAGTTTAGAGTAGGCATGAAAGGTAAATCTTTTCTGGACATTTTCGATCTTCTGAATCAGATATTTGCGGGATGGAGACCAAACTTCACTCGCATATTCCAGAATCGGTCTACATAGTGTGCAAAAAGCGCGGATATAAGTAGTTTTATTGGGTACCTGAATCTTTTTGATGATTAAGTACGAAATTCGCGCCGCTCTTGCGCAGATTTCAGTGATATGCGGCTTCAAAGAGAGCTTATTTGTGTATCTAACACCGAGATCCTTGATGATATCGACCGTTTCGATTGGGCTATTTGCGAGAAGTAAGGGAGGTGCGGGACTTAGGGAAGTTAAGCAAAAGGTCTTATTAACGGCGAGGGACATCCCATTTTCCGAGGCCCATTTTTCTATGATAGAGATGTCGGACTGGATAGAGGTGTGGGGACTGGGACCTGAGCGCGGCCCAATACCTGCATAGATTTTGAGATCGTCAGCGAATAAGAGATTTTTGTTTACTAGAAGGGGTGGGAGATCATTTATGAAGATCAAAAAAAGTATGGGCCCTAAGACACTACCCTGCGGGACCCCGAGGTTTGAGGACGTGGCTTAGAAACTGAGTCTCCGTTCTGTACATGAAAAGTCCGACCGGTGAGATAGGCTTTCAACCACGAGTATATGGGAACAGGCAGGCCCGTTTGGGCGACTTTATCTAGGAGAATGTGATGGGGGACTTTATCAAAAGCTTTTGCTAGATCGAAATATATGCTTATTGGTTTTTCACCGGAATCTAACATGTTGGCAAAGTCATGGAACATTTTGATGAGCTGCGCGGTGGTAGAATGAGAGGCTCTGAATCCAAACTGGGCCGGGGAAAAGAACTGTTTAGCATCTAGAAAAGAAATTATTTTGTGTTTCAGCGCAACTTCAATAACTTTGCAAATCGATGATGTGAGGGCTATTGGGCGATAGTTTTGGGCCTTAGTTTCGTCGCCGGTCTTAAAAAGGGGTACTATTCGAGAAAGTTTCCAGTGAGCGGGGATATCACCTTTTAGTAAGGTGATATTAAAAAGCCTAGTCAGAACGGGAGCGAGTATCACCGAACATTTCTTGAGGAAAAGAGTGGGAATGTTTTCGGGCGTCCAGTGGGTTTTTGGATTCATGGAAGCTAGGGCCTTGTCAATATCGTTAGGGGTGAACAAAAAAGGGGGCGAGGGGTCGGGATGATGGGAGGGGGGACGTTGCCCTCGAGCGGGCTGAAAAACCTGCGAGAAATAGGCTGCAAATTCCTCTGAGACCTCCGCCTCGTCTGTGATTTTGGGAGAATTTTGATTTTTGAGAAGTGAGATGGGATTTGGCTTACTCTTAGATTTTATGTGGGCGAAAAAGAGGCGGGGATTACCAGAGGCAAATATGCGTTTTTCCGCGTTTCTCAAGAATTTCTGGCAATTTACTTTATGCCGTTTGGAATGGGCCAGATACTCATCAAAGCTACCGGACGTCGCAATAAATCTAGACCAGGCATCATCTTTCTTCCTAAGAGAGCGCTGAATGTGGGGCGGGATTTTAGGTAAGGTGCCTTTGAGCCTACGGGGGACGGTGTCATTGATTATTCTCGCGAATTCCAGGCAAAATCTGTCAT